ATATGTAAAAATATGATGGGAAATAATAATCAGCTCTATAGTCAGCACTTTGTCCATTTTCACCATTCTCGAGAATGAGAAGAGCTGCATGCATACTCTCCTTCAGAGTATGCATCCTTGTCTTACTCAGTGCTTCAGTTACATATTTTACAAATTTTCAAGGAGAAAGAGGTAAAAAGCTCCCCAACATTTTAATATCATATTTTCAAGTACAAGGAACATATATTGGAATTATGGTACTGTTTACTTTTCTCAACCCTGTGATTTCTTTGAACACAGTAGACTCATGGGAAAGATCAATTGATACCATGATACTATTCCTACCATGAGCGTGTTAGATTTAGATGAACAGATGTACATTGCGGATTCTACTGTAAGTAAGGTACTTAAAAACAATCCTTAATACATCTTTTGTCAGCTGTGCCTTCCAAGCTACCTAATACTTTTTTCCCCCTGTTACTAAAACAATACTACTAAAAGCAGAACGTTCACTGGTGTAGGAAAAAATATCCCCCAAAATGTATTGAAGACATAATGCCTGAACTTCACTTAATTAGGATTAATTCCTCCTTCTTAGATGTTGACATAAACTTTTAATTCTGTAAAATATACAATTATGAACAATCATTTCACAAATCACAAAATGAAATTATTAATTATACATAACAACTCTGAAGTGTGCTTGTTAGTGTACCAGGTCTTAAGACATTTTGAGATGATCTAGAAAGATAAAATTTGGCATGAGTATACAGTTTTTGTTTGTGGTCAAAAGGAAAAATCTTGAAATATCCAATTTTCAGTTTTATGCAGATTCCCTCCATTATGCCATTTCTATGTAATTTTAGCTCCAGAGAGAGGGTATACCTTAAAGTGAAAGAGTAACAAATATAACTGTCACTTAATTGGTCTCAGAATATGAGAAAGTAGCTGACTTTAATAATTGGATAACTAGCCCAGCCGGGCGTGGCTCAGTGGTTAAGCGTCGACCTAGGATCCCGGCGATCAGGGTTTGATTCCCGGTCAGGGCACATGCCTGGGTTGTGGGCTGCAGCCAATCAATGACTCTCTCATCACTGATGTTTCTATCTCTCTCTCTCCCTCTCCTTTCCTTTCTCTGAAATCAATAAAGATATATTTAAAAAATAATAATAATTGGATAACTATTCCTTTTAGTGGTTCCCAATTTTTTGATTTAAACAATCAAGTATTATCTGATTGATCTTTAAAAGTAATTTATAGGATCACTATGTCATTTTGGCATGTAACTTGAAAGAAGTTCAAGGAACTGAGTGGAATCACTATAACATTTCCTGACACAGAAAGCTAATGCTGTCATTTAATACTGAACTCTGAGAGCAGTCATCTTAGTATGAAAAATGATTTAGAGACCAATGGCACATTTTACGAATTCTAATTAGTCTAAGTACACAAAAAAAGTAAAATGCTTTTGTTTCTTAAGAGAGGTAGGTTTGCCAACTGTTTTACAAAGAACCTCTACTGCCTGGGAAGGCATCCTCACTCTGAAAGTCTATCTCCTGTGACATAAGCTATTAAATAAAAAACTTGGGACTCACCTAGGTGTTCAGGGTAAAGGGCCATGGGAGAGGCACCTTTAAAAAAACAACCTTCTGGGTTTTCAGTGCTAAGGAGGGAATTCACATTTAGCTTGATTAGGAGGTATACTAATAACATATAAACAAATTATTCTGAGGATCTTCTAGAATGTGATCAAGATCTTGGGAATGAGACTCAAAGAAAGGAAGGCATATTAGTGACTAATGATAACCAAGGCTAATTAATTTAAGGATGGGTGCCTAAGGCATTCTGAGAAGATTAGAGCTGGCTTTTAGCTATATTTCAAAGGAGAGCTCTACAACCAAAGTTCCCAATTGTTGAAGACGAATTTGCCCATCTTCAGTTTCATAGCACTGTAATATGGCTTTTAAGGCTTGACCCCCACCCAATCTAGGGTGGTAGTATTTGCTTTAATCAGATGAATTGCTGAAACTCAAAAACTCATCTCTCTGGTTCTGGACAATTCCTCCAAGAGAAAATGGAAATCTCTTGTTTGGTTATAACATCACCATATGACCCTTTACAATGATTACACTGTAAAGAATTTTTATAGTGATTTTACTGGAGCCTTCGACAAATTTGGTTCCCACAAAAACTTTATAAAGTAGGCAAGGCAGGTCCCCAGAATGCATGATTTCATTTATATAAAGTTCAAACAAGGCATAACTAATCAATCGTATTAGACGCAGCAATGGCGGTTACCACTGAAAAGAAGACTGGGAGGAAGCTAAAGGGACCTTTTAGAGATGCTGATAATGCCTTGTGATTAATGGGTGTGTTACAATATAACTCATGGATCTGTATCCTTCTGGTTTGTGCATATTCTGTAAACATGTTACACTTCAATAAAAAGTTCATTATTTTAAAAATGCCCTGGTCTTAATCACTGTATCACTGCTGCCCATAAATAGTATTTAACAGACATAAATAACTAAAAGTGGCAGTAAAACTACTGAATATGTCATAAAAAGAAAACTACTGATTGTGAATGCAAAATTACTTGCTTTTAAATTCAACTACTTTCATTTATTTCATGCCCATCTAAAACCTAACATGAGAAATAAGAAAAAAATTTAAAATATATAAAAGGAAACAAAAACTATCACTCTATAGTTAAAGATATAGCATTTTTTCCTTATTGTCACCCATCTTCCTCACCTCTATGTCTCAACTCTGATCTTTTTAAAATATATCTTTATTGATTTCAGAGACAGGAAGGGAGAGGGAAAGGGAGAGTTGAAATATCAATGATGAGAGAGTCATTGACCAGCTGCCTCCTGCACGCGCCCAACTGGGGATCGAGCTCGCAACCTGGGCATGTGTCCTGACTGGGAATCGAACCTCGATCTCCTGGATTCTAGGTCAATGCTCAACTGCTGAGCCATGCCCGGCCTGGCTGATATTTTCTTATTTTCCACAATTCTCTACCTTCTTTCTTACCTCCTCTAATCCTCCAAGATCTTTTCCTAGGTAACTGGAGATTATGAAACAAAGAGCATACTGGGAAGTTTCCTGGGTCTGCTTAGGACAAATGCAGCTTTCACATCTCTTATTTTCTCATCCTCAAATTCCATATTTTTTTGGTTATCCCTTTTTCTCACATCTCTCCCTGCTTGTACCTCTGTTCTCCTTCCTAATTATACCCCTCGAGTCTATCTGAAACGCACATAATAGTAAAAGGTAATCAACTAATCTTTATTCTCATAAAATTATGTTCTATATAAACAGAATTCAAGCTATAAATAGTGTTACAGGTATGGTTGTACAGATGAAAATATAGTGAGCAGTCTTTTCTATGACAAATACAAAGGAACTGATGCTTTTGCATAGTTTCTCCACACTTGAAACTATGCACTAATTTTCAAATCTTTTTCTGGCCCAAAACACCTGAGGAACATGACATTAACACCTCTAATAGACGGTTAATTTTATGTGCTAATATGGCTGAGCATGGTGCCCAGATACATGGTCAAATATTGTTTGTTTCTATGATAGCGTTTTTGGATGAGTTTAACATTTAAAAGAGTGAACTTTGAGTAAAGACCTAATGTGGTGGGCCTCATCCAATAAGCCAAAGACCTTAATAGAACAAAGACTCATCTTTTCTGAGCAAAAAGGAATTCTGCCAACAGACTCAAACTGCTACTCCTCTTCCCTGGGTCTCCGGGATACTGGCCTATCCTACAGATTTGAGACTTACAACCACATGAGCAAATTTTTTAAAATAACTTCCTCTAAACACACACACACACACACACACACACACACACACACACACACACGTGTGTGTGTCTTTTTGGTCTTGGTTCTCTAGAGAACCATGATTAATACAAGTAGCTAAAGATAGTGATTTCTCAACTAAAAATGGTGGGGGTGAGGTGGGGTCTACAGAAAGAGCAGAGGGGCTGGGGATGGTACATAATTTTAAAAGGCCTGATGTAGACCTTATGAAATTCCTACTTAAAAGTCATTAACTAGCCCTCCTCTATTACAGAAGCTGGAATGCTAAAATAAAATTTTTGGCTTCCCTTACATGTGACATAGCTACGGCCAAATTCTTGAGAAAGACGTCTTTCGCAAATAAAAAGCTAATGCCTCACTAGGAGAAAGCACTATGCTCTAACCATTCTTCCTGCCCAGACCACTCAGGATTCAGGTGTAAAAACAGTGCCTGAAAAAGCTGCTCTTCAGCTCTAAGACTGCTCCCACCATTCCCCAGTGTTCCTGTGTGGTATCCTAAATAAGAGGGCAAGTAGAATCTGGCTGTTTAGGCCAACCTGAACTGAAAACTGAAAAACTTAACTCATGTCATCATGTTAAGTAATACTTTTAAAAACACAGCTGTTAAAAAAAAAACACACACACAGCTGTTCTCAGGCTCTACTGATACTATGTAAAGTTGAAATCTGCAATGGGAAAGACTTGGACTAGAAAAATTCCCTGAAAATAATGATTACAAAGTATTGAAGATTATAACTATGAAATACTAAGGAAGTCGATAGAGTATCCTTTAAAAAGCATTTTTGAAAATATGACCTGAATTATTTTATGACATTCGACTGCAAAGACAAGAGTTAGAAGACAGCAGCACTTTGACATTGTTTCCACTCTCTAATATACTACTGATTTAAAGGTTTTTACCTCAGTACACTTTCAGTATTTGTTAAAGCAGAGAGCTAAAGAGTATTATATAAAATCACTGTGTAATAAAACCTCACTAACAAATCATTAAGAAGGAACTTATTGGCCAAGTTGTTGAAAAATGTAAATAAAATGCCCAAATTATCTAACAATTTTTAAGTCAACACTACCATATGTTTAAGGGTATCCATGCTGTACCTCTGAAAATATTATGTTCTTCAGACCTATCTATAAAAAGAAAAATCAAGTGTTATTAAATAATGACCACAAAATTCTGTGTTTACCTTTTTTTTCTCCAGTGTAAGGCACATAGTCTTCCCGGTCCTTATGCTCCAAAGCTTCCTTCTCCAGATATGACAGGAGGTGCTCTCTATCAAATGGCCCTGTGGCAGACTTTGAGGTCTGGTTCTTTTGTCGGAACCCTGCAGGCAGAAGGGCATTCTGCCAGAGAATGAATAAACTATTATGACCACCAAGAATGCGAATGCTATATGCTTACATAGATTACTCAGAGAAGAAACAATTATAGATTAGAATGTGATATAGGCATGAAACACTTTATTACAGGATTTTAGGGCTGCAATGTAAAAGTGTTCCAAAGTGGGTTTTTTTTTAAATTAGGCAGTATTCACTTACATTCCTATTAAAATAGATACAAACACATTTTCTTTAGCAAGTATTCTACTAGCAGAAAACACCCTTTACTTTTAAAATGTCCTGGGACAGCCCTAGCCAGTTTGGCTCAGTGGTTAAGGTTGGCCCAAGGACTGAAGGGTTCTGGGTCTGATTATGCCCAAGGGCACATTCCTCAGTTGCAGGCTCCATCCTCAGCCCCAGTTGGAGCTTGTCTGGGAGGCAACCAATGGATGTGTCTCTCTCACACTGATGTTTCTCTCCCGTCCACTCTGAAAAGCACACCTATTCCTTCCCTTACAAACCACAATAAAGGTTCCAGGCCATGCCTGTTCCTAGCTCTTTCTGCTTCCTGACGAACCCTGGTGCTTCCCCATGTGGCCCTGTGTAGCTTGGTGTGCCTCCTGCTGTTGGGAGCTTTAAGCAATAAACTCTTCTTTCAAGGCAGTTATTGCCCTGTCATCTTACCATATATCTGATTAAAAGGTGCATTTTAAAACAGAGGAGGTATGCTATTGGCCTGTAGTGAGTAGAGGCCAGGGATGCTGCTAACCATCCTACAACGTATTGGACAGCCCCCACAATAACAATTATCCAGTCCCAAATGCCAATAGCTAAGGTTCAGAAACCCTGGACTAGATGAACTCTTCAGTTACTACCATTTGATTCAAATAGGCTGACCTTCACGTAGAAGATATTACTGAGACATGATCAAAACAGCACCATTATTCTAAGTTTTCCCCTAGATTTAGGTGTACTGGAAACTTTTCTTTATAATAACAATTATGGTTAAGGGATTTGGTCTATGGTACTGATATGATACCTTATCCAAATGCTAAAGTAATGTTGAGAATAGGCGTGTATTCTCATAAATATTAAAAAACATCCCAGCAAGAAAAGAATATGTGATAGTAACAAAAACAGTTTTATAAAACAAACTCTACCTCAATCCTAAAAGGCACTAAAAATCCATGTCTTGGCATAAAGAAACCTAATAAAGAAGCCTAGCAACCATTACCTTCAGGTAAAGTAGCCATAACCTCAGAGTTCTCCCCTCACTGCCTCCTTCTCCCCCAATGCATACCAGGGAATAACAATTCAAGGGTCAAGGGTCTCTACCTTAGCTGTGTAATTCATAAGACAAACAACATCCACTATGCAAATTAAAACAATATACAAACAATCAGGTCTGCTCACGGGGACTGCAGTATTGCTGAGAGTCTACTTAGATCTATTCTACCAATGACAAGAAGCTCATTCAATTCGATGAGCATCTTTCAGAAGGGTAACAATTACATTCAAAGTCATAAAGAACCTTGCAGAGACACACTATGCTGTAGCCATCCTGGTATAGGTAAACTCTGAAGAGCAACAGAGGTTGGCATATATCAGAGTTAATCGTCTGCTGCATTTTACCAAAAACATTCCTCTCGCCTGGCCGGGTGTAGCTCAGCGGTTGAGCATCGACCTATGATCCAGGAGATGGCAGTTTGATTCCTGGTCAGGGCACATGCCAGGGTTGTGGGCTCGATCCTCAGTAGGGGGCGTGAAGGAGGAAGCCGATCAATGACTCATCACTGATGTTTCTCTCTCTCTCTCTCCCTCTCCCTTCCTCTCTCTGAAGTCAATAAAGGTACATTAAAAAAACAAAACAAACAAAAACCAAAAATATACCTCTCTGCCCAGACAGAAACAATTTCTTACAGTAGAGAATTTTAGGAGATGTTTTAAAATAAGGGTGATGAAGAAAGCAGTTTAAAACAGTTACAACAGTAAAGATATGGAGGTAGAGTGGGGGATCTGGAGAAGAGACAAAACGTTCACTTGGATAAAGAGGTGTCAATGAAGGAGACTTGGTTTGGGGTGGTGAACACACAATACAATATACAGATGATCTATTATAGAACTGTACCCCTGAAACCTATATCATTTTATTAACCAATGTCACCCCAATAAATTCAATAAAATAAAATAAGCTTAGTTTCAAAGGGTCCAAAAGATTATTTCACTCTTCTTCATTAGCTAGCACCTACTTCAGGGTCGAGATCATCAAGAACAGTTTCCAGTTGTTTCAGTTCTAATTCTGATAGGTTCCCAAGGAGCTCATCTTCATCCAGGTCCTTGTACTTTTCTAAGTCCTTACGGAATGGTAGTGCCATGGCTTGCAGTGTCACTTAGTTTTTGCTATTCAATAGCCAGAAGTAATTTCTACTTTTTCTTACAACTGTGGAGAGAAGAAACAAAAACATTTAAAACATCATTTCCACCTACTTAGATCTATTATTAGGTTAAATGAAATATAATTTCCATGTCATATATTCTTTGACCATGTATCACACACACCCTTTTCTACAGATCATTCAATGCCTTTTGTCTTTTGTTAACAACAACAAAAATACACTGGGGAAAAAAGAGGGGAAGGAGAGAATAAAATTCAAATCCATTAAAATGTCTATTTGACAGAATTTACCTTTTCTGATAACTGAGTTTTGGGGGGGGGGGGGCGCAGCTTGTAATTTGTGCCAAAATACAAATTTTTCCATCAATGGCTTCCAAATGATTGCTACCGGGGTAGTTTGTTGAAGCATAGTATGTTTAAGGTTTACTGTAAGTTGCTTAGAAGAACATTTTCTGACTCAATATTAATATGGGGGGGGATACAGATGCACTCCCCATGGAAGGAATAGCCTCTTGTCACTGGAAAGAAAACATTTTTTTAAAAAGTGCATTAAAGTCCTAGCCGGTTTGCTCAGTGATTAGAGCGTCGGCCCTTGGGCTGAAGGGTCCTGGGTTAGATTTCGGCCAACGGCGGCACGTACCTCAGTTGCAGGCTCCAACCCCATTGGGGGCATGTGAGGAGGCAACCAATCTATGTGTCTCTTTCACATCAATGTCTCTCCCTCCCCTTCACTCTCTCTGAAAAAGCAATGGAAAAAATATCCTCAGGTGAGGATTAAAAAAAAAAAAAAAAAA